ATACCGACAAACATTATCAAACACATGCTATGGCCCACCTTGCATGTGGGGCGCAGCAACTAACGCCACAAACACCAAATCAATGCCATTACATTACAGCAGATTGATGAAGAAAAAGACCTTGGAGTCAAACTCCACCACTCACTGAAAGTTGCACAACAGGTGGGAGCAGCAGTCAGAAAAGTTAACCAAACCTTTGGAATAATCAAGTGTACCTTTGACTTTAAGGAAAAGAAGGTAGTGATTCAACTTTATAAATCTCTAGTAATCCAAATAAATGATTTGAATTACTGTATTCAAGCATGGAGATCTCATCTTCAGAAGGACATAGCTGCTCTGGAGAAAGTGCAACACCGGGCCACAAAAGTTATTCTAGAGCTAAGTCATCTCTCGTATCAGGAACGGTTGAGAGCCACATAGCTAACTTTGCAACCCGTTCTCGCACTTTCGTATAGTCAATATTGACTTATTAAATACGTGCATATGTGACATACTAATTTATTGTGAATATTTTAGTTTACCTTGAAAAGCTTCATAGAAAACACCGACCTTACCTAACCTTCTTAGTATGTTAAGATAAGCATCTTATTGCTTCGTAATTACAATTATTACTTAACCTATATAGGTAATAGATTAAGTAATAATTGTAATTATGAAGGAATAAGATGCTTATCTTAACATATTAAGAAGGTTAGGTAAAGGTCGGTGTTTTCTATGAAGCTTTTCAAGGTAAACTAAAATATTCACAATAAATTAGTATGTCACATATGCACTTATTTAATAAGTCAATATTGACTTAAGAAAGTGCGAGAACGGGTTGCCCAACACTGCAAAATAGGCATGACAAGGCGGATCAAATTGAAACTTTTAAAATACTGAACAAGTTAGAAGATGTTGATCCCAACAATTTCTTCAAAAGGTCAGATGTAATACAAACAAGGAGCAACGGTTTCAAGCTCAACAAACCTCAATGTAGGACTGAGAACGGGAGATATTTTTTCATCCACAAGGTTATAAACCCATGGAACCGCCTACCCGCCGAAGCCGTAATTACCAAAACTGTTAGTGGCCCTCAGGTAAATCAGATACAAAAATCAGGTGTTTAGACTCTGTTTGCAATTATTTGTATTTGTAATAAGTGGGTGAACCATTTACAGAGATGCGATTCGATTCGAACAAATGTTTCAGGGAAGCACTGTTCAAGAAATGTTCGAACATCAACACTTGTGAGTGGTGTGTAAAGCAGTTTCCTCATCAGAAGAAGCTAAATGTTCATCCCATGCAGACTCCAAACTCCATTTATGTATAAAATAATGCACTTTTCACACGACTCACAACTGACGACGTTCGAACATTTATCGAACAGTATGAGACCTATGTTCGAATCGAATCGCAACTATGTAAATGCTTCCCCCATGTATTATAAATACAAATAATTGCAAATAGAGCCTAAACACTGAATCTAATCTAATCCAGGCCTAAATATTCACAATATACTAATATATCATAATAATAATGATAATTTATATTTAAGAAAATTCCTATTTTAACATGCATGGAATGCATGTTAAAACTAATGAATGTGTCTTTGGGGTCGGTCGCTGGATGGAATGAACACAGTCTAAGGACGGGATAAGGAAACTGCATCACTCACAGACTCAACAACACCTCTGTTTCGTGAGGATTGTTCAACTCTGATATCATTAATGAACTAATTCGCAAACAACAAATAAAACTGACAAATGAATAAACAAATAAGATTTGTTTTTGTTTTTGCTTGGATTAAGATGGCACCGATGACCATCCTAAGGGATGGTCATCTATACACCGGACTACCGCACATTGACAAGTTGAGAGGCGGGACCAAAGAGCCAAAACTCAACCCCCGCAAGCACAATTAGGTGAGTACAACTAGATGAGTACATCAAATAGGATTAAAATAAAAATAAAAATAAAATTCGCCGTAATAATTACTTATTAGTATGGCTCCTGAGCCACAAGTTATCCCAAGATAACAGAGCGTATCAGGCCAATGGTCCTAACTAAAGCGGTCCTTTGCAGGTCTCGATAACACAGCTCATCTTCCTAAAATGAGAGTACTACTTACAGCAAGTATTTGGTCGCTCATCTACCTAAAATGAGAGTACTACTTACAGCAAGTATTTGGTCCAAAGTACCAATATGTAGTGTTAGTCCACATAAAGGTTCATGTTTTGTGCTACAGAATTACCCCAAATGACATTCTCGTACATACGAAACGAAACTGAAGAACCTAGGCTAACCTGTCCTGGCAATCCTCAGCCTGATACACGCTATCTTAGGTCTAATATAGTACATATATATATATATATATATATATATATATATATATATATATATATATATATATAAATATATATATATATATATATATATATATATTATATATATATATATATATATATATATAGTGTGTGTGTGTGTGTGTGTGTGTGTGTGTGTGTGTGTGTGTGTGTGTGTGTGTGTGCTACATATTGGAAATTTGAACCAAAACGTACTATCATTATAGGAAGATAGGCTGCGACAATACAATTTTGTTATCCAATATTTGAATTAGGTATGATGTGTATGTTAAAAGATAACGACTTTTATCGTGCTTACACTTTAGATACAGGCTAGAAGGACACGACATACAAGCTTGGATCTCCTAGGACGAAGTGGATTCGATCCCTCCATAGGCCTCAATATCTCATCTAAGATGTTGTTGTTGTTTAAGCTTCGCTACCTGGAACAAAAAGTTCCAAGTAGCACGGGCTATGGTGAGCCCGTAGTGGACTTTTTTTTCATCTAAGAGATTCCACGTCCGGTCATACACACTCACCTGGTCATACACACTCACCTGGTCATACACACTCCCACCCCACACACTGGTCATACACACTCACCTGGTCATACACACACACGTGGTCATACACACTCCCACCCCACACACTGGTCATACACACCCCCACCCCACACACTGGTCATACACACCCCCACCCCACACACTGGTCATACACACCCCCACACCACACACTGGTCATACACACTCCCCCCACACACTGGTCATACACACCCCCACCCCACACACTGGTCATACACCCCCACCCCACACACTGGTCATACACACTCCCACCCCACACACTGGTCATACACACTCCCCCCACACACTGGTCATACACACCCCACCCCACACACTGGTCATACACACTCCCACCCCACACACTGGTCATACACACTCCCGTGGTCATACACACTCCCACCCACACACACTGGTCATACACACCCCCACCCACACACACTGGTCATACACACCCCCCTGGCCACACACTGGTCATACACACCCCCACCCCACACACTGGTCATACACACCCCCACCCCACACACTGGTCATACACACTCCCGTGGTCATACACACACACCCCACACACTGGTCATACACACCCCCCCCACACACACTGGTCATACACACACACCACACCATACACACCCCACCCCACACACTGGTCATACACACCCCCACCCCACACACTGGTCATACACACCCCCACCCCACACACTGGTCATACACACCCCCACCCCACACACTGGTCATACACACTCCCACCCCACACACTGGTCATACACACCCCCACCCCACACACTGGTCATACACACTCCCACCCCACACACTGGTCATACACACCCCCACCCCACACACTGGTCATACACACTCACCCCACACACTGGTCATACACACACTGGTCATACACACCCCCACCCCACACACTGGTCATACACACCCCACACCATACACACTCACCCCACACACTGGTCATACACACCCCCACCCCACACACTGGTCATACACACCCACCCCACACACTGGTCATACACACTCACACCATACACACTCACCTGGTCATACACACTCACCACACCCCACACACACACTGGTCATACACACTCCCCACCCCACACACTGGTCATACACACCCCCACCCCACACACTGGTCATACACACCCCACCTGGTCCACACACTGGTCATACACACTCCCACCCCACACACTGGTCATACACACCCCACCCCACACACTGGTCATACACACACTCCCACTGGTCATACACACTCCCCTGGTCATACACCCCACCCCACACACTGGTCATACACACTCACACACTGGTCATACACACCCCCCCCACACACTGGTCATACACACCCCACCCCACACACTGGTCATACACACCCCCACCCCACACACTGGTCATACACACTCCCGTGGTCATACACACTCCCGTGGTCATACACACCCCCGTGGTCATACACACACCCTGGTCATACACACCCCCACCCACACACTGGTCATACACACCCCCACCCCACACACTGGTCATACACACCCCCACCCCACACACTGGTCATACACACCCCACCCCACACACTGGTCATACACACCCCCACCCCACACACTGGTCATACACACCCCCACCCCACACACTGGTCATACACACCCCACCCCACACACTGGTCATACACACCCCCACCCCACACACTGGTCATACACACCCCCACCCCACACACTGGTCATACACACCCATACACCACACACTGGTCATACACACTCCCACCCCACACACTGGTCATACACACCCCCACCCCACACACTGGTCATACACACCCCCACCCCACACACTGGTCATACACACCCCCACCCCACACACTGGTCATACACACTCCCACCCCACACACTGGTCATACACACCCCCTGGTCATACACACTCACCTGGTCATACACATTCCCGTGGTCATACACACACACTGGTCATACACACCCCCACCCCACACACTGGTCATACACACTCCCACCCCACACACTGGTCATACACACACCCCCACACACTGGTCATACACACTCCCACCCCACACACTGGTCATACACACCCCCACCCCACACACTGGTCATACACACCCCCACCATACACACACACTGGTCATACACAC